TGCATCAAAGGCCATGGCCTTGCACGTCGCTTGATGCACCGCCACGATAAATGCGAATCGAAGAAATAAGTTACGTTTTTGGCGGTATATAATACGTTTTTAGATCGGCTAGTACGAAGTACACTTAAAATCAGGTCACAGAACAACGCAACTGTGTTTGGTTTTTCATGGGCGTCACAGGAGAACACTTTGCCGGCGAGGAATAAGGTTATTTTTGGCAAATTTTAGGGAAAATAATGATAATAACGTTATGCAGTAGTGGCTCGTAGCAGGGCTGGCGCTAGGTGCGGACAAGCTGGGCCCCTGTCTGGGGAGGCAACCTTAGGAAGCGGCATAATAAACTCCCGCTAAAAAAATGGCTTAATTTTTGTTATAATTTAAATAAATGGCCACACGTACAAAGTGCTGTAAAATAATTTGTTACCGTGTGTTTCAATTTTTTGGAACATGTATGGAGTCGCGAAAAACCAGTCATAACAAGCTACTATTATAAAAGAAAAAGAGGCAGTTCCTTTGTTTTATTTATGCAATAATTGCTTTACATTTTGCTTGGTTATTGATGAAGTAGAGTTGCGTTGCATACAATTATTATATGCCGTGTGTTTTTGAAAGTTGTGTCATAAAGTGTTTTGTAAAGGTAAGAAGGGTAATAATTGAAAATAAGGCAGTTTTTCGAAATAAAGCGCTCAAATCTGTCAATTTTTGGTTGGTTGGTTGGTTGGTTGGTTGGTTGGTTGGTTGGTTGGTTGGTTGGTTGGTTGGTTGGTTGGTTGGTTGGTTGGTTGGTTGGTTGGTTGGTTGGTTGGTTGGTTGGTTGGTTGGTTGTAGGTTAGCCATTGCTTTGTAGCTTAAATTGCTTGCTTGTTTGCTTGTAGGTAACTCTTTCTGCAATCATCGAGTATCTACCTCCTCGTTGCTCCGCTGGATATGTTAATATTGCTGCTATAGAAGCAACACTATTAACTAACTGAATGACACTCCATCAAAACCCAAGCTAAGGTTTGAATGACCGCTGGCAAAGTGGTTGCGAAAGTTTCCACTGGAGGCTCTTGTATCAGCCTTGCCTTGCCGGTCGACTATGTATTCGCTAGCTGCTTCTGGGATTTACATGGTGAAGCACAGTAGAACCAAACAGCAGGGACACTCCGAATCCAAATTTGATCGAATGCCGTTTGCCATCCGAAGCAATATAACTTCTCAATCTCTTAAGTGAGACAACCTCGCAAGAGAGAAACGGGGGAACAAAAAGAGGGGGTGAAAGGAGCAGAGAAGAGGAGTACCACCGCTCCATTTTCTTCATCCTCCTACAAACTTCCAAGGGAAATTCCCCTTAAACAGTACCAAAGAAAATTACCTTCCCGATCTGGTAGAAGGAACGACCTACTAGGGCATGGGTCAGGTGGTATATTCGCTACCTTGATCAGGGTTTGCCACCGGAGGAAGCGAAAAAGAAAGCTGTTGAGCACAGATCCCAGGGAAACCTATTTCCAAGGATCTTAAAAGAAAGCGCGAAGGGAAAAACACCACACTGCCGCAAAGAACTGACAAAAAGAGGAAAATTGCCATCACTTCCACTTTCGGCAGCTATACAACTGTTGTCAAGACAGAGCGAGTCGCGATCCTATTTAAGGGGTTACTGTGCGGACGACCAAACCTTATTGAAGGAATCCATAGTGAAAGAAATGTTCTACAGGTGGGAGCATTCACTTCCAGCCAGATATGGTAGGTACTAATCGACTGTGAAACTCCACAGTCAGCAGAATGGCTGAGGATTAAAATCCCACACTTGAAAAGCTGGAAGAGAGTTGAGCTGGAAGTATGTGCAGGAGACGATATCTTCGAAGCACATATGGTCACACTCTTTCTCCTTAGAAGGCAATGCCAGACTATAGAGAAGCTTTTGCAGTTAATAGAAGCAAATAATGTGGGGCTTTCGACCACGTTGTGGAAGATCGTTAGTAGAAGAGGCGAATACAAAGGCCAAATCGTCAGGGTAAAAATAGATGACCTATCCTACCAGAGGAACAAAGATAATGAATATGCGATAATGGATATTATCGGTTCGGGAAAATTCTGGTACATGGTATTCAAAAGAAGGATTAGGCAAAAGAAACGAAAGGACCTACAGAAGCAACTCCCGGTACATCCAACGATAAAGACACAGACAAAACTTTTCAACTCTCTACCCAGACTTATTTGACTATATAGTAATCTAGGAAAAAAAAAACAAAAGAGGGAGACATGTAACACACCTGTAGGTACCAACTATTTAGGATCCTATCACATACAAGACTTGATAAAATAAATGTATACATAATTTCAAGATAAAGAAGCTAAAATATACAATCGGTCGCGACAACAGTAAAAATTTAAAATGCCAAACGTTTATATAAATATTTCTTAATGCATGGCAACTCAAGTCGTTCCGTTGCCAAGGTTTTTGGCGACATAGGGCCCACAAGGTTATCGACTAAAAATGTAGCGATAGTTTTGTAGTAGTTATTTTAGGCATAAAAATGAAGTTTCCTAAGGTTTTGAGGTGTTAAAACTATTATAAGAATTATTTTTTGGTATTTTTTGGTATTTTTTGGTATTTTTTGTTATTTTTTTGTTATTTTTTGTTGTTTTTTGTTATTTTTTGTTATTTTTTGTTATTTTTTATTATTTTTTATTATTTTTTGTTATTTTTTGTTATTTTTTGTTATTTTTTGTTATTTTTTGTTATTTTTTGTTATTTTTTGTTTCTTTTTATTATTTTTTCTTATTTTTTGTTATTTGTCGTTGTTAAGTTTTTTATTTTTGTTGATTTTTCTTGTTTTATTTTTTTTTCTTGTTTTCTGTTTTTGTTTTTTGGTTTGTTGTTTTTTCTTTTGTTTTTTGTTGTTTTTTTTTTTGTTTTTTTTTTTTCGTTTTTTGTTTTTGATTTTAGTTTGTTTTTTTTTTCTCTTATTTTTTTTCTTAAAATTTAAGATAATATATAATAAAAGAATATAATGAATAGAATGATTTATATGAAAGAAAAAAAAGACAATAAAAATAGTACCCTTTATTTATTTTATTTATTTTTTGTTTTTTGTTTTATTTCGTTTTTTCTGGTTTATTTCTTGTTTTTTTCATATTTTTCTGTTTTTTTTTTATTTTTTGTGGCTTTTTGTTGTTTTTATTTTTTGTTTTTTTTTTGTTTTTCGTTTTTTTTTTGTTGTTTTGTGTTTTTGTTTTTTGTCGTTATTGTACTATTTTGTGGCATAGTTAGTTATTTTAGGCATAAAAATTAAGTTTCCCAAGTTTTTGCGGTATTAAAACTATTAAAAGAATTACAAACATAAAATTATGTTGTTAAATTAAAGTATTGCTTCGTGGTCGTAGAAAAAATAGTGTATGCAACTCTCTTAGATGACCGTTGCATAATATACTATTTTGTAACAACTGTTAATTAGTGTGACATTCTTTATTGCGTAAATTTTTTCTCCATAGTTCCTGACCAATTATAAAATAGAATTTTCATCATTCATACTTCATTATAGGTCATTTCCTTTGCATCGAAAGTGTAGCACTGAGCTACACCACTTATGAAAATATCGTTCCATTTATACAATATGTATGGATAGAACGATATTTTCAGTGCTACACTTTCGATGCAAAGGAAAAGACCTTATATTACTAAATAAATCATCAGTAGTCAAACTGAAGCCCGTCACAACCGTTACGGTAAAACGATAATTCTAAATTGTTTCGCCACCTATTATGAGATCACGTAACTAAATATGCACGAGATGTAGGTAATTACTAAGCCTAGGGAGAGACATCTGTTATATAAGTTACCAAGTAGAATGTAAAAAATACTTGATTTCAGTCGGTTCCTGTAAATTCTATTCTAGTTATCCAATTAGCGACAAACTCGCTCAAAGAGGGCGTTGTTTGAGCTAACATGTGGTTTGTGGCAGACATTTTTTATTTATTATTTATCCATTGTCAAAACTTGTAGGTGTTTTTCATTATGGAACCAGCAGACAATATAGGGAAAGGAAAACAAATAACAGAAAATGAAGTGAACGACTTGGCAAAAAACTGATGAAAAAACAGAAACAAAGACCCATGAAAATAAAGCAGAGAATGCTGAAAGAAAAAAGATAGAAAAGCAAAAATAGAAGTGTCCTTGAAAGAAGGAATATTTGATGAAGAGGATAAAACCCCTTTACCCAATTGTAGAGACGCCTATGGTCTAGTAAATGACGAGAAAAATCTAGCGCATACACCAAATATCTCTTTATTTAAAAATAACTTAATTTTCCCGCCTTTTTTAAAGTAGTCTTTAAGAACGTCTTTGAGCTCTCACATTAAATGGCTTTTGCAAGACAAGGCGTCTTAATAACGTCTTGGGACATTGAGACCAAACCAAGATACAAAAAAGACGTCTTTCAGACGTCGTGTGCTATCTGGAAATACCTACTCGCTCTTCTGTTATCCTGATACCAATGGGATAGTCCACTCCAATATTTTTAACCTTTGAGGCATAAGGCATAAGAACACAATGCTACGGGTTCGGTTCCATCTGGCCCCACATTATTTTTCTTGGTTTTTTTTCTTTTTCTTGTTTTTATTTGTTTTTCTTGTATGTTTTTTCTTGTTTTTTTTGTTTTTCTTGTTTTTCCTATTTTTTCTTGTTTTTCTCTTGTTTTTCCTTGTTTTTTGTTGTTTTTCTTGGGTTTTCTTTTTTTATAATTTTTTTTGTTTGTTTTCTGTTATTTATTGTTTTTGTTTTTATAGTTGTTTATTTTTTTGTTTTTTTTTCTTGTTTTTTGTTTTTATTTGTTTTTTTGTTGTTTCTTGTTTTTCTTTGTAGTTTTCTGTTTTTTGTTGTATTGTTTTTTTGTTTTCTGTTCTTTGTTTTTGTCGTTTTTTTGTTATTCTTTTTTCTTTTTTTTTCCTTGTTTTTTCGTTTCTTCATTTTCTTTTTTTTTTTTTCGTGTTTTTGCGTTTTTTTTTTGTTTAAAATGGCAAATATATAATAAAAGAACATAATGAATAGAATGATTTACCATAGGATTAATATGAAAGAAAAAAGACGATAACAAAATAGTACCTATTATTTAATCATCAGAAACTACAGTTTAATGGGTTCAATATCCTGCAAAAAAATTAATTGTTGCAGGAATTGGTAACTTTTGTTCATAGTACGTTAAATTTTCCTTAAATTGTTCGGCGACATCTTGATTACGACTAACCGCAGATACATGAGGAGTAATAACTACCTAAAATATTAAATTAGTATTAAAAACAAAAATTTTAAAAGTATACACTACATGGAAAATTTTTTTTATTAAAAATTATTCTTGGTAAAAGTTGTTTTTACGTCACATCCAAATTATTACTTACATTTGGTAATTCCCATAAGGCACTGGAAGATGGAAGGGGTTCTTTTTCGAGTACATCCAAAATGGCACCAGAAATCCATTTACTTTTTAAAGCGGTCACTAGAGATTCTTCAGAAATAATTGAACCGCGTCCGACATTTATAAAAACAGTTCCTTTGCCTATAAATATTTAGTAAGTAAAATATTCAAATATTTTAATTTAAAATTAAGTAAACCTAAAAGTAGTAATAGCAGCACTATAATAAATTAGACCAGATTTTCCCCAGATCTGGGGAAAAAATTAAACCGGCAACATCGTAATATTATTGATTAAAGCTTGAAACTTTATTTAAGTAATATTCAAGTAGTATACAAATAGTATTTAAGTAGTATTTAAGTAGTATTTAAGTAGTACTTAAGTAGTATTTAAGTAGTATATAAGTAGTATTTAAGTAGTATTTAAGTAGTATTTAAGTAGTATTTAAGTAGTATTTAAGTAGTATTTAAGTATTATTTAAGTATTATTTAAGTAGTATTTAAGTAGTATTTAAGTAGTATTTAAGTAGTATTTAAGTAGTATTTAAGTAGTATTTAAGTAGTATTTAAGTAGTATTTAAGTAGTATTTAAGTAGTATTTAAGTATTATTAAGTAGTATTATGTAGTATTTAAGTAGTATTTAAGTAGTATTTAAGTAGTATTTAAGTAGTATTTAAGTAGTATTTAAGTAGTATTTAAGTAGTATTTAAGTAGTATTTAAGTAGTATTTAAGTAGTATTTGAGTAGTATTAAGTACTATTTAGGTAGTATTTAAGTAGTATTTGAGTAGTATTTAAGTAGTGTTTAAGTAGTATTTAAGTATTATTTAAGTAGTATTTAATTAAAGTAGTATTTAATTAAAGTAGTATTTAAGTAAAGTAGTATTTAAGTAAAGTATTATTTAAGTAAAGTATTATTTAAGTAAAGTAGTATTTAAGTAGTATTTATGTAGTATTTATGTAGTATTGAAGTAGTATTCAAGTAAAGTAATATTAAAGTAGTATTAAATTAGTATTAAAGTAAAGTAGTATTAAATTAGTATTAAAGTAAAGTAGTATTAAAGTAGTATTCTAGTATTAAATTAGTATTAATACAACTAAAGTCGTATTAAAATAATAATAAAGTAGTATTAAAATAGGATTTAAGAAGTATAATATTTAAGAAGTATTAAAATAGTATTCAATATTCAAGTAGTATTCAATATTCAAGTAGTATTAAAGTAAAGTAGTATTAAAGTAGTATTAAAGTAAAGTAGTATTAAAGGAGTATTAAAATAGTATTAAAGTAGTATTGAAGTAAAGTAGTATTAAAATAGTATTTATATAGTCTTTAAATAGTATTCAGAAAGTAATAAAAACTCTAAACAAACCATTTAATGTAACGAGTAATTTTTTTTTCATATAGCAGCCATCTTGGATTTTATAGAAATGGGAAAAAATAGTCTAGCGCTGAGGAATTTTTCGAAGTTTGAAGATTTACCATACGCTTAGTCAATGATATTACGGTGTTGCCGGTTTAATTTTTTTTTTCCCAGATCTGGGGAAAAATCTGACCTAATGGACTATAGTGCTGCTATTACTACTCTTAAAAGGTTGAAATTGCGAAACAGAACACTAAGCTTTATTAACAATTAATTATAAAGTTAATCAATTCTAGATTTTTAATTTTTAAATATACAAACTTTTGCAATTTTCTAAGATTTCTCCATTCAAAAGGCCTTCGGTTTCGGGTGTACTCGGTAAAATATTGACAAGATAATCACAGTTTTGTAGCATTTGTGGAAGGTTACTTTTTGTAAAATAATTTGATATATGCTTATTTTGTTCCAAATCAAAATTTTGCTGTCTTCCATAACCCAAAATCTTTGCCCCCATGAGATTAAGTGTCTTTGCAACTAAAAATAAAAAATAAGTAACATTTACCATGAAATTGAGAAATAAAAAAGCAACAGTAATATTAATAAACATAAAAAAACTTCTACTTGTTTCCACAAGTCATACTGTGATGACAACTAGAGTTCATATTTTAATCTAAAGCCTAAAAGACAATTTAAAGATATTTTACGTTTATTTAAAAAAATATATAAATATAAAAAACTTTTTAGATGCTATGGTCATTGGATTCACATCTGCTGCTATCCTATCAGTTTACTAAATCACCAAAGATGCATCATTTTGTTCATTTTAACACTTTCACTGCTGATGACGCACATGCGCGTCATATGAAGTCCCTCGCTATGTGCTAACGACGCACATGTGCGTCATAGGAAGTCCTCCTATCTTACCTCTATTCCCTATATTTCCAACTCCTAAAACTCCAATTGTCAGTTCAGGAAATGATCTGTACTGTCTCAGTTTTTCATACTTAATCCATTTCTTTAATTTTTGATTTTCCCTCATTTCAAAAGCACATCTTTCATAACTAATTATCTGTGAAATGACATATTCACTCATAAGTACCCCAAAATGTTTTCCTGTGAATCTACTAATGGGATATTTTGGTGGATCTCCCGGTCTAACTACTTTCATTATCCTTTCTACGCCTGCCCAAGTTCCTTGGATCCATTTTATATTGGGTAAATCGTAAAGATAGAGTGCAATTAAATTATTGTCTGCTATAATTATTTCTGATTCTCTAAATATTTTGTCTGTTTCTAAAAAAAATTAAAATATAAAAAATTAAATAGAAAATAAATTATCACTGGCATAGTATCGACTTTAAATTATTTCCTTTCTGATACACTGCATTATAGTTTTTTATTTCATCCTTTCTAACTCTTCAACAATATAGTGTTTGGTCTCATTATAAGATACACACCAAAAAATAAATTCAAACACCCTCTTACAGTATTTAAGTTTGAATGCCCTAGGACACTTGTCGATTACCTCAATCATTTTAGGGTCCATTTGGCAATAACAAGACCCATGATAACTTATAATAGCCCTCAATACCCTCTCAGGAGCTCAGAGGCTGGCATGCCTTTGTATTACAGGAGCACTGAGAAGTACACAGACAGCCTCTATGGAAATCATTCTAAACCTCCAACCCCTTGACCTAGTCATAAAGGGGGAGGCCAGAATGAGTGCATACAGAGTGGAAATCTCCAACAACTCTACTGGAAAGAACGCTACAGGAAGTCATTGAAAAGTATCGTAAACAACAATAGAAATAATAAAAATAAGACTAATGTTAACTCAAATAATAATAATAATAATTTATTTACCAAAAATAATATAAAAACAATGTATAATGTATATCAAGTTCGTTCGAGATAAATAAACAGAAACACCCACAAAAAGAATCCTTGAGCATGGGTTATTATTGGTTATTTAGGACGAGCAGTCTTAATAAAACACAATATTACAATATTATAAAAAAATGAAAAATTATACAAAAATAATATTTGGAATAATATGAAAAACAGTTACGTAATACTAAGTTTAATTTAATATTAATATTTACATTTTATCAACTATTTTTTTTTTCTAGACAAATTATTAAATTGAACTAGTAAACCAGACTATAACATTCGTTATTTGTTGAAATAAAACGTTGCAGATTCGCAGTAGGGATAGAATATATCCATTTTTTTATTTTTACTTTGAATAGATTTAGGGAATAAATGCTCTTTAATTCTAACGGTATTTCATTATATAATTTGGGACCCAGGTAAGCATAACTTTTTTGCCCTATAGTTTTTTTGGCTTTAGGTATTACAACATTTAATTTATATCGAGTTGCGTGGTCATGACTTACTGATAGTAAAGTGTGTTTGTCTTTACGTTGTTTTGTAATAATAATTTTTGCAAATAACTGATAAATATCTAATACTCCAGCTTCTTGATAAAGATCTATTGTTGGGTGAGTTCTAGGTCGGTGATTTTAACCATTACTTTTTAAACATGGCACAGACACAGTTCTTCCAATAAATATCCAAAGTTGTAGAAAAATGTATGTTTATACAAATTGTCAGTTTTTTTTAGAAATAATAGGTGCGTTTTAATCATCCACTTCTGCTTCGGAATTGTCGGTTTTCTTGTTTTAATCTGACAGGTTAAAACGACTAAACCGACAATTCCGGAAGCAGAAGCGGATGATTAAAACGCACCTAATGGGTCTTTTTAATAGCTGCCAATTTGGTTTTAGGCAAAATAAAGACGTTTCCATGGGTATTATTCATCTAGTACAAAGTATATTGGACATTTTCCATAACTATCACTGTAACACGCTTCTGTTTTGTGATTTAAGTAAGTCCTTCGATTGTGTAGATCACGGAATCCCTTTTTTTTTAGAGAATTGTCCTGGGGCTCGGTCTGGCTCTCGGCGGCCCTACAGTCACACCTTGAGGGTAGGCGTCAGTATGTACGCTACGCTGGTGTAACATCGGCGAAGGAAGAAATAAGTATTTAGGTACCCCAGGGCTCGATTGTGGGGTCCAAATTGGATTTGGAGGGTTTCAATTAATTTAAATTATAAATGGTAAATTTGAAGTTAAATTTTATAAGAAAATATTTGCTTACAAATTTATCATTCATAATTTAAATCAATCGAAACCTTTTTCTAATATATATGATTTATCATTTATTGACCAACAATGAAAGTACATTCTTTTTGCCGATGATACAAGTGTCTGTATATGCTGATGCATAAGAGGCTTCTATGGTTGCACAGGAGTTGGCCCAAAACTGGTTCAACTCAAATAAACTACTTCTAGATATTGAAAAAACAAAAAAGTTGGTCTTTACAATATAAATAATGCCAGATTTCTTGGAGTGACCATTGACCCTAAATTGCATATCAACACAGAAGCTTCAAGGCTAATTAGTGATCTTTTTCTTCTCAGAAACCTAGCTAATAAGGTATTAATAACAGTCTATTTTGCAACTTTCCATATGTAATCATTGCCTGGGGGCATGCAGCTGATACGCGACGTATTTTTGGCATGCAGAGAAAAGCAGTAAAGGGTATTGAGTGTAGGATGGCTTTCAGAAATCTAAAAATATTGACGGTTCCTTCTAGATAGATCTTGGAGAACTTGCTCTACTAGAGTTGCCATCTGTCCTTCTTCCAAATTGTCTTCGTAACTTTTTAAACCTTAAAATGTCTTTTTACATTAGAAAAAGAATCTGGTTTATAAAAATATAAGCTGAGGATCTTTTTTTTAGAACCTCAGCAGCATGACCTGAAGTTTATTAAAAATAAAAGATGATGAGGACTTTTTTAGTTCACCAGAAAGACCTGGTTTTTTCTTTTACAAATCTGTTCACTTTTCAAAAAGGTGGCAATCTTATGCTCCACATTAAGAAAAATCCTGATGTCTTTGTGATGCATTGTAGAGTACATAATTATAAAACCAGAGGCAGGTGTACTTTGGTGCCTATCTATTGGCGTTTGGGGAGGTATCAGGATAGCCCGGATTATTAGGCTATTAAATTTTTTACCAGACTTATTTTAACTTTTAAAAAACAATTAAACAAATCTTAATTAGAAATTGTTTTTAATCTTTATTTTGACTTTAATGTGTAATATGTACATGAGAATCTACTGCCTCCAACATATGTGTATATATTGCTTTAATACATTTGTAAGTCAAATGGCGCCATGAATCATCTTTAAGTCGCCCCGGAGCCCTACGCCAAATAATAATAATAATAACCATCCCTTCCTCTACACAAGTCACTCTTCAGTGGCTTCAATGATTGAAATTCATTAGGGAGAGTATTATTATTTATAACTTGATATTTTTTTATTTTTATATATTTTAGATTTTTATCTTAGCATCTTAGGTATATTCTCTGCATTTTTAATTTAATCTCACTTATGCAAAATGCATTCTGTAAAAATAGCATAAATACATTTTTAATCGGTTTGACCGTGGGGGCCACTCAATATTGCATCTTCATCCGATTCATTGACCTGGAAAAGTTTGATCCAAATACTGACGAACAGTCAGTGCAAAATGGGGTGGATTAAGTTGTTTGCTTTTAAGTTTCATTATAGATTAATTAAAATGCAGATAGAAATTAAAATATTTACTTAAGTTTAAATCATTGCATTTACTTTTGAGTGATTTCTATTTATTTTATTCTATAAAAAATAATAATCCACAATCAATGCTAAAGTGTGTATTGGACATTTTTTAATTTTAAACATTTCATGCTTGATTATAGATTTTTAAGTTCTGCCAAACATTTTATGGAGTAATATTTTTTTATATGAAAAATAAGATACAATTTTATTCCTATGTATAATACTTTTTGAAACATATTGTATAATATATTGCGACGTGCTCTTCGAGCACGTCGTTAACAGCAATATATGAATACACTTTGTTAACGACGTGCTTGAAGAGCACGTCGCAATCTATTACACAATATGTCCTATATTATATAATAGATTGCGACAGAGCACACCTTTAACAGCAATATCTGGTACATATTGTATAATAGATTGCGACGTGCTCTTCGAGCACGTCGTTAACAGCAATATATGAATACAATTTGTTGTTAACGACGTGCTCGAAGAGCACGTCGCAATCTATTATACAATATGTCCCATATTATATAATAGATTGCGACAGAGCACACCTTTAACAGCAATATCTGGTACATATTGTATAATAGATTGCGACGTGCTCTTCGAGCACGTCGTTAACAGCAATATATGAATACAATTTGTTGTTAACGACGTGCTCGAAGAGCACGTCGCAACCTATTATACAATATGTCCCATATTATATAATAGATTGCGACAGAGCACACCTTTAACAGCAATATCTGGTACATATTGTATAATAGATTGCGACGTGCTCTTCGAGCACGTCGTAAACAGCAATATATGAATACAATTTGTCGTTAACGACGTGCTCGAAAAGCACGTCACAATCTAAAGGAAAAAAACAACTGTTAATTCAAATATTTATAAAAATATCAAACGTCCCTGTAAGGTAAGTATAAAGGGCAAGTTCCAATTTGTAGAAAAATGGGACCATCAAGCAAATTTTCTTCTGAACATGAATTGATTCTTGCTGATTGGGTTAAATCTCTAGCTCTTGCAGGTTTCCCTTTGATAAAGGAAACCTTCATGGAAAGTGTTTCTAAACTAGCTTTAGAATTAAGGATCACCTTTAATGGAAATACCAAATCCGGAAAAAAATGGTTAAGTCTTTTTTTAAAACGCCACCAAGATATTACATTTCGAACTGGTCAAAATTTAACTTCTCAAAGAAGAACTGATACACAAAAGAATATCAATCAATGGTTTGAGGAAATTGCGAGATATTTAAAGGTGAAGAAAATAGAAAATGTCATAAAAAATTAAAATTGTGTGTTTAACTGCGATGAAACAGCATTCTTTTTAAATCCAAAACTGGGCAAAGTTGTGGCTTCCAACGGATGTAAAACTGTTTATAATGCTGCTGATAATAATGAAAAATTCAATATAACAACTTTAATTACAGCCAATGCCAATGGAAAACTTGCACCTCCACTAGTAGTCTACAGGTACACCAGGATACCATATAAGATATACATGAAAACTTTCCTTCTGACTGGACAATACGAAAGTCCAAAAAGGGTGAATGACTCAAGAACTATTCTTTGAATAAATTGCTAAATATTTCCGTACCCTGGCTTGAAAAGGTATTCCCAAATC